AAGATCAAGATCAAGATCAAGATCAAGATCAAGATCAAGATCAAGATGAAGATGAAGATAAAGATGGAGATGGAGATGAAGATGAAGATGAAGATGAAGATGAAGATGAAGATGAAGATGAAGATGAAGATGAAGATGAAGATGAAGATGAAGATGAAGATGAAGATGAAGATGAAGATGAAGATGAATATGAAGATGAAGATGAAGATGAAGATGAAGATGAAGATGAAGATGAAGATGAAGATGAAGATGAAGATGAAGATGAAAATGAAGATGAAGATGAAGATGAAGATGAAGATGAAGATGAAGATGAAGATGAAGATGAAGATGAAGATGAAGATGAAGATGAAATTATATATGTATATTAGAAAATAAGTACATGTGTATGTATATCGCACATTTCTTTCTTTCTGGAATTTCCTCTATTAAGTTTCACTTCTTCCGCGCGTAGGGACTACACGCACTGAGTTTTTAGAATTTTTTTTTTTTGTCGAGGGTGTTGCGCATTTGTTTCCATATAAGGCATGAACAAAATATATTTTTATATGGAAGAAACTGCGCAACACCCTCGACAAAAAAAAAACAAAAAATCTGCAGTAATTTTGAGCAGCCTTAAACTTGCACTTTAATTATACTAAAATGGAAAGGGCTACAAAACTGCATACCGAAAGTTTTTCTAAGAATTCTGAATAAAAAGTTTGAAATTTTGATGAAAATTTTTTTAAGGTTGATTCATTTTTATGATTTTTGTACAAAGTTTGCAAGAATGAGATAATGAAAAAGATGTATGATGGAAAACATTTTGAATATTGTGAAAAACTAGATTACGAATACTTCTGTGAGTGACTGTATGTACATGCGGACACTGATAAACGATGCAGAAGTTACTGCGACTTTCTGTTTCCATTCATTTTATTTCTGTTTTGCACAAACACAAAAAGACTCGTATCAACTGACCAGAACCATACAAATTTACAGCGTGACAAATTCTACATTGGACAAGTGCAACAGCCAGCTATGTATATAGCTCATTTCAAGACAGGTTCAAAGCTATCTTTTAGGTATAAATTATGGTCTAGTCTAGCATGGTCTAGTATGTATGGTCTAGTCTATTATGGTCTAGCACTAGTTCAGTGCTCCTTTGAAGGAAATTCGATTACATCAGGGAAAAACGTGAACACGTTAAGCAGTGCCCATACATACATGCGAATTTTCGGAATGCGAATTTGCGAATGCGAATGTTAGGAATAACATTAAAATAGCTATAATCAACTTAAGTATTCGTTTTTATTACTTGTGCTTAACCTATACAGCTTTTAATCTAGTAGTCAAAGTTCAAAAGGGGCATATTATATTTCAAAAAAGTAATTTTGCTGCCTTTTCTCCCATGAGGCGTTTTCTTAGTGACACAAGACCGGCTGCACTGAACAATTGATCACTTGGAACCACCAATCGAGAGGATTGTTACCGAGATTCCGAAATTACCGGATTTCTTTAAGATAGACCTTCAACTGAGCTTTAATTTCACATTTTTTAATCTAAAATTATTTCTAGGTTGCTTATACGACTTTTAGCAGTATTTGTTGAAGGTCCATCAATGTTGCTTGCTATACTACTTAACCGTTTAGCGCATGAAGCTAAAAGCTGGTTATTGTCCGCACTCTGGTTAGACAGACTTAGAGCCATTTCAGCAATATTAGAGCAGACTCTTTGCCCATGTGCACATTCGCAAAATACTCGAATCATTTGATGCGAATGCGAATGTCGAATGCGAATTTGTAAAATGATGCAAATCATTCGCATAACGAATGCGAATGCAAATATCCGCAACATCCCTGATGTGCACATACATTTTGAGAGTACCAAACTTCCGTCAAAAACGGCTGCCATGCCTGGCGCCACTAAATAAAAGTTCTGTTGTAAACTTTTAGTTGCTTATGAAATGCATAAGGAAATTTTGAACTCGTTTCTAACGAAAATTACAGAATAGTTATTAATTTATACTAATATATATTTTGAAAGCCGTTTTTTCTTTTCTTATGTTTAAAAAAAAACACAAATATGTATGTACAGTTCATGGATAAATTATGTAGGCAATTACAAACATATGTATGCACAAGGAGCAATTAACATTGCTGTTAGCACTTACATTTGTATATGCATATTTATAAAAGTATCATGATTTTTCAATATTTTCGGTTCTTCCGTGTGCGATTTTACATTATTTTCAAAGAAACGTTTTTTCAATTTGAAATTAAATTTGTTTGAATGATTGTAAGAAATGTACATTTACATACCTTTGGCTGTAGCTGAGTTTGCAGTGGTGCTCGCTGTTATTGGTTAGATTCCAGACGGCCCAAGATGTTAATACGTTAACACAAAGTTTTGTTTTGTATTACCAAACAATGAAATAGCATCTGCGAAGTGCAGAGTGAAAGTGCATTTGAACGAAAAAGCCGCCTATCTATGTAAAGTAAACAAGCCCCCCGCTGCATCCCTTTTCGATAGTTACGATCTAGTTCTAAATTCGACAGATAAGATCTAGTTCGTTTTGCGTCCCTTTTTCTATAATTCCGAACCAGTTCTAAATTCATCACTTAAGATATAGATTTCTAATGAAAAAAGAGAAATA